TTTTAGTAGAGACGGGGTTTCACCATGTTGGCCAGGATGGTCTCGATCTCTTGACCTCGTGATCCACCCGCCTCAGCCTCCCAAAGTGCTGGGATTACTGGTTTGAGCCACCGCGCCCGGCCTGAGTTTTGTATTTTTAATAGAGACAGGGTTTCACCACGTTGACCAGTCTTGTCTTAAAATTCTGACCTCAGGTGATCCACCCACCTCACCCTCCCAAAGTGCTGGGATCACAGGCGTGAGCCACTGCACCCAGTCCCATTGTTTTAAACAAAACACAAGTCATCTGAACTGCTTCCCCAGCCCCTGATTGAGGCCATCAATGCTCCTTTCCTAGGACCTGAGGATCTCGGGTCCCTGCTCAGCAACCCCAACCCTGGTACCTTTCTGGATGTTGTAGTCTGAGAGCGTGCGGCCATCCTCCAGCTGTTTACCGGCAAATATCAGACGCTGCTGGTCAGGTGGGATACCTGAAGGGGAGAGAGGCTCACTTAGAGGCTCTGTGGAGCACATTACTGGCAGTGTCCCCATGCAGGGGAGCTCCAGCACTACCCTCAGTCTCTCAAAACACAAACTGAAGTAGAGATAACATTCTTCAGATCACATGGAGAAGCAACGGAAAAACTGAAGTCTGTCTAAAGCCAGCACCAACCCACACAGGAGGGACTCCCAGTCCATAGCCAGAGCCCCTACACCCAGTCCCACTCACCCTCCTTGTCTTGAATTTTGGCTTTAACATTCTCAATGGTGTCACTGGGCTCGACCTCAAGGGTGATGGTCTTGCCCGTGAGGGTCTTCACAAAAATCTGCATCTCTGCGTCTGCTGAAGGGAGGCAGGATAGACGGATGAACAATGCATGCCTTGGTGATGCAAGCTCAGGCACCTACATCCCAGATGCTATCCTATCCCTGTGCCTGCACTGACCCCAACTGGTCCTGCCCCATTACCTGTCTTCCTTTCACTCCTCCAAGCCTGGCCCTGTTAGGCTTCGCACACACCCTGGCCTGCAGCCTAAACACGTCCTGGAACTAAAAGGCCACACGTCCTCCATCCTACTGAGTGCATGGGTGCTCTCCAGGAACACAGACTGGTTATTCTCCTTAGGCTTAGCAGGGGAAGGATTCATCATTATCTCCGGATGGAGTAAGTTCCCTTTGGCACCATCAGATAAATCTTCCCTGAGCCCGGTCCCATCCTCTCCAACACAGCAAGGTCCTGGTCTCCTTCGCCGGGGCTCCTGCTGCCATCCTGGATGGGAAGCCATCCCCTACAACACACATGCCTTCCTGTCGCATCCCCTCTCCCCTCTAACTGCAAGCTAGGGCACCCAACACTCTCAGTTTCGTCTCCAGACCCCACTTCTTGCCTTTACTCCAGACCACAAACATCACTTATATCTACCAACCACACGCCAACCAGTGTTTACATATAAAAGTTGACTTTTTTTTGAGGCGGAGTTTTGTTCTCGTTGCCCAGGCTGAAGTGCAGTAGTGCGATCTCAGCTCACCGCGACCACTGCCTCCCGGGTTCCAGTGATTCTCCTGCCTCAGCCTCCCGAGGAGCTGGGATTACAGGCATGAGCCACCACGCCCAGCTACTTTTATACTTTTAGTAGAGACGGTGTTTCACCATGTTAGTCAAGCTGGTCTCGAACTCCCTCCCAACCTCGCCCTCCCAAAGTGCTGGGATTACATGCATGAGCCATCGCACTCGGCCCAAAGTTGACTTAAAAAAAAAAAAAAAGCCGGGCGCGGTGGCTCAAGCCTGTAATCCCAGCACTTTGGGAGGCTGAGGCAGGTGGATTGCCTGAGGTCAGGAGTTCGAGACCAGCCTGGCCAACATGGTGAAACCCCATCTCTACTAAAAATACAAAAATTGGCTTGGCATGGTCGCACGCACCTGTAGTTCCAGCTACTCAGGAGGCTGAGGCAGGAGAATTGCTTGAACCCAGGAGGCGGAGGTTGCGGTGAGCCGAGATCGCGCCATTGCACTCCGGCCTGGGTAACAAGAGCGAAACTCCGTCTCAAAAAAAAAAAAAAAAAAAAAAAAAAAAAAAAAATCCGCCAGGCGTGGTGGCTTACGCCTGTAATCCAAGCACTTTGGGAGGCCGAGGCAGACGTATCACTTGAATTCAGGAGTTCAAGACCAGCCTGGCCACCATGGTGAAACCCAGTTATCTACTAAAAACACACAAAAAAACAGCTGCGTGTGGTGGCGGGCGCCTGTAATCCCAGCTACTCGGGAGGCTGAGGCAGGAGAATCGCTTGAGTCCGGGAGGTGGAGGCTGCAGTGAGCCGAGATCACACCAGTGCATTCGAGCCTGGGCGACAGAGCGAGCTCCAGAGTCTAAAAGACAGTCGCTACCACCAGCCCCTCCTTACAGACGTCGTAATGGAGCCAGCTACAAACACTCGGCTAGAGAAATTTAGTATTTCTAAAGGAACTGACGCAGTGACCGCGAGAGTTAACACTACAAGCTCAATAACCCCCTCTCATTAACACGGACCGGTCCCGAAGACCCGTTCCCGCCCGAGGCCTCGTGGGGTCACTCAGGCAGGCAGAGCCGGCAGGCTCCTCTCCAAGCGGCGCTCGCCTCCTGGGCCCCGGCCTGGGCTCGGAGCCGCGGCCTCGAGCGCCCTGCCCGGCCACCCCGCCGAGACTGGCCTCCATGAGCCGGCTCAAGGCCGCCTCTTCTGCCGCCCAGCCCCCCTGCCGTCTCCTGCAGCCCCACCACCCGACCTCAGCCCGGCGCGAACCCACACGACCGCCGCCACCAACCAACTCTGCCGCCTCGCTGAAGAAAAAGAGGACTGCGGAACCGGAAACCGCCGAATCGCCGCCGAAAGCGCTTGCGCGCGGAGCACGCTGGGCGCCTGCGTCACAATCCGCGCCGCGCTTCAGGACCCGCCCTGCCGCCATCTTGGATGCTGGCAAACGAATCCGCAGCGCACGTGGGTGAGCGTCTCACGCAAGCTTTTGGGTATGGGCCCCGCCCGCCGAGTCACGTGAGGAGACTATCGCACCTCTCCAGGTGTTTGTACCCGCTGCCTCTGAGCCACTGACAAACGCTGGCGGTTGGCAGACCCTCAGCGAGTACTTGAACGGAGTAGAGGAGAATGTTTTCCGCTAAAGCAAAGGCATAAGGCAGAGGGCTGCGGTTCCAGGACGCAGGAGTTGGGGCTGGGAAGGGACCTAACACCCGGAATCGGTTATTAGAAAGCTCTCGGCCGCTGTGTACGATGGATTTCAGGACAGCAGAAGGGAGAGCAGACGGGACAACCGCATTCGCCAGGAAAGGTGGTGGTGCCTGGCAAAAGGTGCCAAGTGGGACTGAGGGTCTCTTTTCCATGTAGGATCCAGATTTGTGGGTGGTTAAAGAGTGCCGCGGCGGCCTGGGTGCGGTGGCTCACGCCTGTAATCCCAACACTTTGGGAGGCCGAGGCGGGTGGATCACCTGTCAGGAGTCCAAGACCAGCCTGGCCCAATAGGGTGAAACCTCGTCTCTACTAAAAATGGAAAAATTAGCTGGGTGTGGTGGCGTGCGCCTGTGGTTCCCAGCTACTGGGGAGGCTGAGGCAAGAGAATAGCTTGAACCCGGGAGGTGGAGGTTGCAGTGAGCTGAGATCGCACCACTGCACTCCAGCCTGGAGACTCCGTCTCAAAA